CCACCCATTCACACACACATTCACACACTGGTGATGGCAAGCTACATTGTAGCCACAGCCACCCTGGGGCGCACTGACAGAGCCATGGGAAAAAGTTCACATTTTCCCACCTTTTGACTTTTCCCACCAGTCAAAAGGTGGGAAAATGTGAACTGCATCTTCGTGATGGCCAGCAGGGGGCGACTTTTGTGGTTTCTGAATGACGTTGTGCAGAGTAGGCCTGGGTATCACAAACAAAAATACTGCATAATCTTCACTGGCAACTATTGGACTATTCTTTGAATTCTGGAGGCAATCGATACAAATGTAGTAGTTTGTGGGCAAAAGCTGGTGCTAGCTGGTTAGGATGCCAACTTGCAGTTTTACTAAATTTGGACCACTCACATTTGCGAAAGAGTACATGTGCGTCTAATTTGGCCCACAGTCAAGCTCAAGCACCAGGATATTTAGACTGTTTATTCAGTCATCTCTTGGGTTGTATATTCATTGAGGTGCAGTTCTGTTCTACTGAAATCTCATAGACAGTCTATGAGATTTCAGTAGAACACAGAAAACTATCAAATGTTTAACCTAAGACATTTTATTAGTTCGTTAAAAATATTCACTCTGTTTAACTTTGATGGCAGCAACACATTTCAGGAGTTGCCCTGCCTGCATTCCAACTTTTTAACCAATGGAAAATCATGAAACTAATAAGACACAACAAAGATGAGCTGGGACTGCTGACCAACGTGAATCCTCTATCAGACAAGAATGGGACAACATTCCTCTGTTTGGCTGCTCTCCTCAGATGTTTATGGACTGTTGTTTAAAGTTGAGGGGATGTTTGTTTGTTAGTGGTATATTTTCTCAGTTTTAAACATTTGATATGGTTTCTGATCAACTGTGAATGAAATATAGGTTTATAACATTGTCAGTGTCCCAACTTCTTTAGAAGTGGTGCTGTAGCTGTTAGCCTATTCACCTGTTTCCATCAGTTCAGTTTCTCCCAGCCTCCGGACTTAACTACGTTTCTGTCAGAAACTCTGGATCTATTTGATAATTTGAGTTAAAACTTTATAACCAATTTAAAATTTTGTCCTAGAAGGTAAAAAGAAAAACCCCTCTGTCTTCACTGATGAGGGCTTTAGTTCAGGACTTTATTAGGTTTAAATCACATGTGGGGAAACGAAGTTACTAAGTTTCAGTAGTGTT